TATGGTGCGTTTCGGGCCTTTGCCTTCAATGCCTTGCCAATATTCAATGGCTCCCAGAGGGATGTTCTTGAGAACGGACGACGCTGGTTGCCGACGTGCGGGTGGCCCCGCTGCCGCAGCTGGCGCCGCTGCGGCTGCCGAGGCAGCTCCAGCGGATGACCCCGCACCAGGGTGCGGGTGACCTTGGTCAGCCAGCGCATCGTCGGCGAGTTTCTGTCGGTTGTCAATTTCTTTGAGGGCTTTGCGGCGTTCTTCTTCTGAGGGAGTGCCTTCTGCGGGTGCCCCCGCTGCTGCAGCTGGCGCCGTTTCAGCGGGTGGCCCCGCAGAGCCCTTGTCCCCCTTACCTTTGGCGGCTGCCTCTGCCCGCACCGACCTCAACCCAGCCTCGGGCTTCGGTTGTGCTTTCATTCGTGCCGAGCCTGGTCGTGGTGCAAGGCGCGGCTGATGCAGAGTTGGAGTCCAGCCACCTCGGAAGGCTGCCTTAGGCTGGTCGCGATCTTCGTCCTTGACGTCGCCTTGGGCAGCCGGTGGCATCGGGGCTGATGGTCCAGCAAAAGCCTTCCTCCTCTCCGTCACGGACGGGCCGGTAGGCTCTCCCGGCTCAGGGTCGTCCTTCTTGGCGATCCCTCTGGCCTTCGCACGCCCCTGTGAACCTTCGGGGCTCTTGGAAGGAGACCTCTTCTCAGGAGAAGGTGGAGGCGAGGAGTCGACCACAGGTCCTGGAGGTGGTTCGATGTCTTCGTCGTCCTCTGGTGGTGGACCAGGAGGGTCTTTAGGAGGGCCTTCTGGCTGGCCATGATCATGGATGACCTGCCTCATCTGGTCGATGTTGGCACTACCTTTTATGGCCAGCTTGTACTTGCCATTTTCGTGGCGGTAAAGTACCCTCGTGCAAAACCACTTCTGCGCCGAGGAGCTGTAGTACCAGCAGGCGCATCCATCAGGGAATGGATTCTCTGAGCCGTCTTCCGCCGCCCATTCTTCGTTCAGTTCGGTCTGTTCAGTACCGGCGGCGGATCCGGCAGCAGATGCAACAGCCATCCACTCTTCGTCCGCGGACCCAGCGGCTGGCGCCGCGCCCGCGGGTGGCCCCGCACCTCCGCTGGAGTCTGCGGGTGACCCCGCCTCTTCATGGAATCGGCGGTTCCATTCTTTGAGGCGATGGTCTTTAGGAAGCTGTTCCCAATTTTCCCTGACAGTGTCAGCAACCTCCTCGGTCATAGGGGCGCGATCGGCTTCGGTAATGCGCTTTCCTCCTCCAGGGACCTTCTTGTTAGGATCGTGGACGGTGCCAGCGTCATCTCCATGAGACCAGTTCCAGGGGGTCTCACCGTGATGAGGGCTCCTGGAGGGGCGGTCCATTGGACAGCCGCGCATGTGACCTTTGAAAGGCTCGCATTGACATACTTGTTTCCTGTATGTCTTGCGATCGTTGATGATCTCCTGTTTCTTAGCCTTTCGGTCCCAAGCCTCTGGCGTTTTAGTCTTGCCACCTTTGGTGCGTATTATGATGCCAGATTCGTCCCGTTTGCAGTGCTCCTTGGACCACCAGTGGCGGATCACGTCCATCGGGTAGCCGGGGTACCAATTGATGTATCACTCCGGCACGTACTGAGCGGATACACCTCTGGAGTGCTCCGTGCTGTACGGGTAGCCAGATGCATCATGTGTAGGGCGTCGTGGAGCTGAACGGCTCCTCCTGCGGGTTGGCCCCGCTGACGCACTGCCACGTTCCATGGGCCTTTCATCTTCATGACGGTGCTCTGGATCTCGAGGTGGCGATGGTCGTCTGTTCTTCTTTGCATTGCGCCTGTCCTCCGAGTCCTCTGAGCTGTCCTGGACCATGAATACGTGCTGATGCGGGCTTTGGAAGTACCCGATGTCGGTCAGCTGCTCCATAGTGAGGTCGTTGAGGTCCATCTGGTCGCAGCCCTGCATGAACTCGTCCATAGACCAAGCGGGTAGCCCCGCTGCTGCAGCTGGCGCCGCTTCAGCGGGTGGCCCCGCTAGGGCCTGGAGTGCGGTCAGCATCTGCGGTGCCGACATATCAGGATCCAGGTATGGACGCAGCCTTGCGGCCCCTGGGCGCGACAGCAGGTCGTTCATGGTCATCTGCTGATGTGCTGGCGCACTCAGGAGCTGGATCGCTTCTGCGACCTGCTCTTGGAGCCTGTCCTCATAGTCCTCTTCGGCCTCTTCAGAGTCAGAATAAGCTGCGGGATGGCCCCGCATTTCGTCGTCAGCGTCTCCCGCTTCCGAGCCGGCTCGCGAATGATCAGGCAGCAACGGCATGCCGATCACCTGCGGTGCCAGCGCGGCGGCGAGCTCCTCCTCGGTCGCCGGGACGGTCTCAGCTTCGGAGATCTCGTCGTCGGCGGGTGGCCCCGCTGGAAGACTGAACCAGGCGTTGAACGCGCCCTCGTCGACTTCATCCCAGCCGTGGAACTCGTCGAAGAGGGTCACCGCGTACTCTTCCAGGGCTACGGTCGCATCAGCGTAGCGGGCCATCACGTAGTTCGTGGAGGAGCCCGCGGCGGGAGCCGCTTCTGGATTGACGTAAAACTCGTAGTCAATGTAGTCTATGTCATCCATAAAAGAGTTTTGAGCCAAATGTACGGATCCCTTTCCTTTCCCCTTCGGGCAATGATCGCGCGCATGCTCTGTACTACCGCATGTATGACACTTCATAGTGTTGCCGGAATCGCCCCTAGTGTTACCCCTCCGCCCTTTTCCCTCACCAGAGGTCCGCCTGTGACCCCGACCTTTGCCTCCGATAAGAACTTCTTCAAAAACTACATCAGTTAAGAACGTGAGGAAAGCAGTGATACCCCTACCATGCATACGGCGTCTGCGACCCCCTTTGCCACGACCCTTTCCATGGCGTTTGAAATATCGGCGTACTGCGCGTCTCACTTTTCTGACCGGTTTCTTCATAATGCGCCTCCAACGGCGTTTTGATTTGCGATAAGCCATAAAAGCGGCTTCCGCTCTTTGTTGTTCAGAAAGGTGAGTGTCATCAGCTGGATAGTCATTGCCAGCAGAGACCATACCATTGTGATCACCGTCAGATGAGGTATCTGTGTCAGTGCCAGATTCAAACGGAGAGGGTGGCTGAGACCCTTGAGCGGATGACTCCGCTTGGCCCCAGAGGGTTGTGCCCGAGGGCGGGCTTGCAGTGTAGGCGGCGCCCGGCGTGTAGTTCGACCAGGCGTTCGCCTCCGCTGCCTCTGCCGATGCCTGGCCGGTCTGCCCTCAGAGGGCAGTGGCCTCGTTGGGCATATCGGCTGAATCAGCCCAGGGACTTGGCTCGCCAGGACCAGCGGGTGACCCCGCAGTCGTGGCGTAGACACCTGCATGTGCGTGGTGCCCTGTGAAGATGCCCGCAATGTTGCCAGGAGAGCGCTCGGCAACATGCCCGTAGTTCCTCATCCTGGTCAGCAGCCTATCATAGTCTGCTTGCGTTCTGGGCATCTGATGATTGAAGGGCTCCAGCAGGTGTTGGGCTCGTGACGCGCCAACGCCTAACGCTCTGAAAAGGATCAGCGCTAGGATCTGAAAGTTGGGGATGACAAATCCAACAGAGTTAGCCTCGTCACGGGCCATCTCGAATCGAGCTAACACTGAGTCGATTCGCTCGCGCCTTTCGACGCGAAAGTCGATAAGGGCAGTGCCAGAGTTGAGCTGGCGCTCATCTTCCAGATTTTCAAATTTGGTACTCAATAGATAAAGTGTATAAGTAACTGCATCCGTTGGCTGTCCGTTGACATTTACACCATAATTGATGATCTGGGAGGGGACCTGCATGGCGATACGACGAGCAAGGCCTTGAAGACCACGCTGTAGTGCTGCAGCTTGCTGAGGTGGCGTCATATTGCCGCTCGTCACGTTTATCCATGCATGTACTTCGCGAACGTACTCGCGAAAGGGCGTAGTACCGGCTGGGTCCCAAGAAGGGCCGGTAGTACGCGTGTCGTCCATCCCCTGCCGCATGTAGCCCACAGCACATCCCATTATCACCCATAGAATGCCGAAGATAGTTATCTTGATCCAGTGCATGTGCATCTCGGCTTCGGTGATTGGTTTAGGCTGTGGTTTGTCAGGCTCGGGCGTAGTAGCCGTAAGGCGCCTGACCGGCACGGGATGCAGGTGGCCCCGCTGCGGGTAGCCCCGCAGAGTGACCACGTTCTCGATCGAGTTGCCGATTGGCATCTGGTGGAAGTCGGGAGTGAAGTAGCGCAGTGAGGTAGGAGAGAGCGTCTCGAGCTCGCGGGTCGCCCCGCTAGCCCGATCGCGGACTGGCTCCGCTCCTCGCAGAGCCGGCGCAACATGGTATTCCACCGTAGTAGTAGTCCACCAAGTTGTGCCGTGGATGATGGGTATTAGAGCGAGAGCCAGCCACACGAGAGTGTAGCCAGCTCCGCTACCAAGTCGAAAACGCACTGGTAAGCCAAGATATATGTTCCGCCTTAGGCGCTCCCATATCCCAGGCTTTGGCTCATACCGCATGAGCAAGAGAGCAAGATGAAGCATGGGATCTGGAGTAAAGGATAGAAGGGGCATCTTCAATAGAAAGGTCTTTTCCGATCTCAGATGCGAGTAGTGCGCCTCGGTGAGGCACAATCACATGTTCGGCCGGGCCCGGCTTGAGCCAGGCACGGCAGCGGTGCATGCTCGATTTACATCTCGCCTTTAACCCTCTCCGTTTAAAGTAGCGTGTCGCGGCGGCGGCCCCGGAGACACGCTGTGCCCTGCGAGCGGATAGCGTGTCGCTCCGCTCCGCGGGGTGGGAAGCTTGGAAATGCTCGGGACGTTGACTCTTGGGAATGTGGAGAATGATAGCGTGCCGCGGCGACGTGTGGTGGGCCAGAACTGGCAGGCGGCACGCCACACAATAGTTCCCGACCGTACAGCTGCAGGCGCGGTGAAGCAGACGACACAAGCTGGCGGATGAGCGCAACGGGCAGACCCCCATCCGTGACGGCTGCAGAGGCTCGGGGCGCCTTCCGCAGGGCAATGTGGGTCTCCTTGAAGTACGGGGACGTCATTCCTCCCGTCGCCCCCGCAGTGGTCTGACCAACCCCATTCGCTCTCTCCGGCCGGCACACGCCCTCCCCGAGCTTTCTCTCGGAGGCCGCCCGAAGGGGGCCAGAGCAGATTGGGTACGTAGCTACGTGAGGGTGGCCGCACCACATCGCCGATGCATCGATCATGCGTCGGCGAGGTCGGATTGGCATTGTTGCACGGTCCTCCGACCCATCCACTCGAAAACCACCTCCGTCAGTGCCAAACTGCCATCACGAACCTCGACACGCGACCCTCCCCTCCGATCCTCCAGGCTGCCCAATCGATCCTCGATAACCGTTGGTGCGCGGCCGATCGTTGCTCCCGATGCGACAGCTGCGGCCCGCGTGCTTGGGCTTGGGGCTTGCCCTCGCCCCGCGCCCCCCGCAAGCGACGCGCCAATTGCCGCTCTGGTGAAGGGTGACCCTCTTCCTCCTCTGGCTTTCGGGTCATTGCTCGGGCCTCTCGCGGCCGTTTCGGACGATTCGGGCACCCGTTTCGAACGCCCGTGGCGAGGCGCAGCTGCTGGAACGCGCCCCGAGGCGGGAAGGTTTGCAGGGAACTTTGAAAACGTCAGACAACTCCGGCGAAGGGTCATTCTGGCCCAGACCTCCAACGTCTTGAATTTTTCAATGCGAGGTCCCTGGAAGACCCGACCCTTTCCCCAGGGCAAGCGTTTCATCCCGAGTAGCTTTTTGGTGGTCCCAGGGCCCCGCAAGGGCTCCCAGAGACCGATAACGGCGAAAAACTTCCGCGTTTCGCTTCTCAATGCGTTGGAGGCCTGGTGGGCACGCGTAGCCGAAGCCTCACGACCCTCGGTGGGGACCTCAGGGCCCGGTGACGAGCGGCAACCGCCGAGCCGCGAGGGCCCGTGGGCCTCGAGCCCGCTGGCGCGCCTCCCTGCCGGGCGGAGCGGCCCTGCTTCGGCGACCCCCAGGACCAGCGGGCAGGCGAGCTCCCGTTGGCTTTGGGGGGGGGGGGGCGATACACCTTGCGTTCAGCCCCTCTGCGTTCAACCCCCCTGCGTTCAACCCTCTGCCTCCCTTTTCTGACCCCCTGCGCTCCACTGGTAAGACGAAGCCAGGACGAGGATAAAATCGGGTACGTAAGGGTAGATCGGGAATATCTGAGATCCCGCGGCTGTGGAGGGTGTACTAGGCGCCGCGGCCTTCTGACAACACTCCCGAACACTCTGAGAGCGTTCCGGAACGTTCTCGAACGAATTTATCCTCGTCCTAGCCCTGGCCGACCCACACTGCTACTCCCCGGACCTGTCCCGGGGTGCGTTCTGACCCGAATCTCCGGGCGAATCCGGCGGTGGCGACGACGGCTTCCCCAAAGGCCCCCCGAGACGCGAAAACGAGGGAAGGTCAGCGGTACTGGCACCTTTTCCTTGTCTTAGGCCGACCCCCTGCGTTCCAACCCTCCTCGCCGTCGCTCGGACGTCCATTCCCCGTGCATGGTTCGACTTCGTGCGTATCCGCCGGCCCCCTTGTGGGGCCACCAGGCTGTAGGCACGTGATTCGCAGTTTCCTGTACCAGTTGTAGTTTCTAGTTTCCAGTGTTACAGTTCTGCTTCTTGCTGGTTACTGTAACTAGTTGACTTCTTGCTGGTTACTGTAACTAGTTGATTGACCGCGCGAGGGGGGGGGAGGCCCAAACAGGATTTTCCAGCGTCCCCTGGGCGCGTTGTCTGAATTGCTGGGGGGGCTCGAAATCGACACCCCTCACGCAGATCCGCGGGGTCAGGGTCCAAAAACACAGGGATTTGCCACATTTCTGAAATTCGGTGCCACCCCTCACGCAGATCCGCGGGGTCAGGGTCCAAAAACACAGGGATTTGCTACATTTCTGAAATTCGGTGCCACCCCTCACGCAGATCCGCGGGGTCAGGGTCCAAAAACACAGGGGATTTGCCACATTTCTGAAATTCGGTGCCACCCCTCACGCAGATCCGCGGGGTCAGGGTCCAAAAACACAGGGATTTGCCACATTTCTGAAATTCGGTGCCACCCCTCACGCAGATCCGCGGGGTCAGGGTCCAAAAACACAGGGATTTGCCACATTTCTGAAATTCGGTGCCACCCCTCACGCAGATCCGCGGGGTCAGGGTCCAAAAACACAGGGATTTGCCACATTTCTGAAATTCGGTGCCACCCCTCACGCAGATCCGCGGGGTCAGGGTCCAAAAACACAGGGGATTTGCCACATTTCTGAAATTCGAACCCATCACGCACATCCATCGCAAGGCGTGGTAACCCAAACTGCGAGAACTCCCTCGGCCCTTTCATCGCAAGGTGTGGTAACCAAGCCCTTAAACCATACACGTCTTACCAATCGCCAGGTGTGGTAACCCCTCTTGTGATCAGTTGGTTTTGCTGATTGCGACTCGGCTTCGCATGAAGTTTCGATACTGCTTCACGACAGCGCCAAGGCCTCATGACTTAGCTCTTCCATGGCCCATTCTCCGAGAGAGGGGGCCGGCGGCAGGGGGCGAAGCCCTTACGGATATATCTTTCTGCAGGATGACCCAAAACACTTCTCGATGGTCCTCGCCGAGAAAAAATGCACAAGTCCGAGCGATGCCGAGCCACACCCTCAGGGCCTGCTTGGCGACTTTTTGGGGCGGCCTTGGGCCGCCCTGGGGTCTCCTGGGGCAGTCTCGGGGCCACCTCGGGGAGGAGGCGCCTCGAGCCCGCCCCGCCGGGGGCGGCCCTGGGCCAAAGTGGCTACGGACGGGGACAAGAACGGCGAGGGGGGCCGAGCGAAGAGGGCAGGGCGAGAAGGGGCGACGGCGAGCGAGGCTTCAGCGAGCGAGGCTTCAGCGCACGGGGTCGGCCCAACCCCCCTCTCTGCCCGCACCCAACCCCCCGCACACCCTCTGGCCGTGGCGCCAGCACACCGCGCGTTGGAGGCGCGCCGCCCCTGGCGCGGTGCGCAGAGGAGGCGAGGCGGACCACCGTCGGGGGAGCCCCGCGCAACGCTTTTCTTGGTCAACCAAAACATGGCCCTTGACCCTGTGGGAGGGGTCCCAAGTTAGGAGGACCAGAAATATTAGGCATAGGGAATCTTTGTTTCCCGCAGATGTATCAACAGAGACCGCTCAGCTGTATTATCCCTAATGGGAAAACGGGAACCTCAGCGAGGCCACGCCTTCATCGTGTTATTGGAATTAGGGGTTATTTTGTTCTCGATGATTTGTCCTAAGCTCAACGCTGGTGCACCTCGCCATCGCTCGGACGTTCATTCCCCGTGAATGTTCCTGTGTCGTGCGCGCATATATTCTCGCAGGATGACCCAAAAGGCTCCTCGATGGCCCACGCCGAGACACTCGATGGCCCACGTCGAGAAAAAAGCATGCACACGTCCGAACGATGCCAGGGTACTGTGCGCATTGTGCTCCCAGCACGGCCCTCTGCGGGGCCACTGAAGCACATGGCTGCGGAAGTGGGAAGGCGTTGCTGCAAACCCGTCTCTCCCGCCTATGCTAAACTGTGTGCGCAACAATCTTGCCAGAAACGGAATTCAGACCGATCTCCACATGATGCTCGAACTTATCACTCGAATCCCGCATCTCCTGCGGTGTGACTCCTGCAGTCCAAGGGCTTTCTCATGGGTTTCGGCGTCTGGCTCCCGTTATCGGGCCCAGTAGGGGCATCAACGACTGATATTGGGCGAAGAACGACCACCAAGGGAGGGGTCCAAACCTCTGGGGCGGACATTGACAAACGCATCGTCGGATGGCTGGGCGACGTGCCCCGAGACGACGCTGAACACAAGCTACAAGCTACAAACTCGGTATCGGTTCTGGGCAACCAAACACTCCGAAGGTACACTGCGAAAGCTAATCTACCCTGTCCCAGTCGGGGTTGCGGTGATTCTGACGATGACGCTCGAAAGTCCAGCGCAGATACAAGAAATCCGCTTAGACATTCGAGCGTTTATGCTTGTGCCAGGGCGCGAACAAAACGTCGTTCTTGTTTTGAACACCACCTGCGTCTTAAACGATGAAAAACAATGACGGCGCCGCCCCCAAAAAACAACACGTTCCGTTCCAGAGCGTCGCCCGCGACAGCGAAGACAAAATGGCCCCGCGCTGGCGCCCGAAACCAAAACGGGGAAACGAGAACGGCATGCAAATAACAGCAACGCAGCGCTTTGCTCGCGCCCGTATGTCAGAAGCGAGAGAAGGACGTGCACGTGCATGGATCCACGTCGGCTTCGAGAGTGCGCACTGCGCGAGTCGATCTCGCGGATTGGGGGGCCGTGTTCATGTACGTGGTTTGGGCGCGTAGGCCCGTTGTGGTCTCCCTGGTATGTCTATGCCGCCGTCTCCCTTCAGATGGGAAAGAGGGGCCCAACCAGGTCAATCCAAACCCGAGCGCCAGTCAGGCCCTGCAGGATCCTGCAGGCTGCTGCAGGGTCCTGCGCCCTAGCCCGTGTCAGTGCACCCTTGGCCCTGCAGGAGATCCTGCAATCTCCGGCGCTCTGGCTGACCCCCGTTTGCATTGACCCACGTCTCAAGTGAGGGGCAACGATAGGGGGGGACCTGGCACAGGGGGAGAGACATCGACCTGGAATCGGCGATACATCGCCGATAGATCGGCGACAGGCCCCTGATGGCAAAGACGCACCTTCCTGGGCAGGCTGGAGCTATCGGTCGCCTCTCGGCGATCAATGGGCGATTGGGGGTCGATGCAACCCCTCCCTATGCCTATCCCCCCCCTTTCGGTGCCCCTGATCAACGCTCCCGACACCCCGCAGGCCCGGCAGGCCCGGTCTCCTGCACCTGGCCGCGAACGGCGCCGCAGGCCTATGGCCCGTCCAGGAGGCCAGCGCGCCCCGCGCGCCCGCGACGAGAGTGGGCGAGCGACGCGGGCGGCGGCCCGGATCCCCGCGCCTTCGCTCGCGCGGGCGCGCCCCTATAGGCGGAGGTGCAGCGATCCTGGGAAGACCGGCTCACGAGGGGGTGGTATCGGCGGCGAGCCCCGGGGGGGCAGTAAGAAGGGGCGGGCCCTGTCAGAAGGCCCAGAAATCCCCACCCCCGCCTTCCGAGAACTTTTCGAAGCCTCCCCCGAAAACGCAGAAAACATGTCTCAGCAGGCGCGAGGGCTACTGAGAAATCCCGCCGCCTTCTGAGAAGGCATTCTCCTTCTCACTTCCCCCCCTCGCTCGCCGCCGATGGTAAACGCGATAATCAATATGATCATCCTTCCATGAGGGCGGCGAGGCAAGACACGAATGACGCAGATTTCGTATCATTCACTGCTCTTCCGCAGGCTGCTTGGGCCAAGCCTCAGAGCTGAGGGCTAGCAAAACCGAGTCCACGTTCCCAACGCGCGGGAGGCAGCACGGAGTGATTCTAGGCCACATCTGAGACTGCGAGGCAAAAAAAAAGAGGCTGAGGGAGAGCTGCTCGCCAGGCAGCTACGGCGCTACGTCGCAGAGACATCGGCGATAGGCCCCCAATAGCGACCCTGGGGCGGGTGGAGCTGTCGGGCCCTTTCCAGCGATGAGTGGGCGAGTGGGGGTCGTTGTGCTCCCCTCTGAACCTGATCTCTCTCCCCACTCCCAACGCTTCCCCTGAGAGGCCCCGCGCCGCCCCGAGTGCCCACCCCCCTGGGCCGCTCCCTGCAGATGCGACGGCTCCGCGTACGGCACGGCGCTGAACTGCTTCTTCTGCTCGACGGCCGTGGCCAGCGCCTGCGCGGCCGCGGCGCGCGCGCCCCCTTGCTCGCCCGTCATCCCAGTCCTCGCCGCCCCCTCCGCCGCTTCGTCCTCGCTCTCGTCCCCCGCGTCCTCCTCGTCCTCGTCGGCCTCCTCCTCCTCCTCCTCCATCCTGCGCCGCCCTTCTCCCGTCCACACACCTCCTCTCGCATCATCAGTCGTCGTCGTCGTCGTCGTCGTCGTCCTCGTGCTCCTCTTCCTCCTCCCTCCTGCTCCTCATCCATCTGCTGCTGCTGCTCCTTCTTCTTCTTCTTCTCCTCCTCCTCCTCCTCCTCCTCTTTCTCCTCTTGCTTCTGCTCCTGCTGCTGCTGCTCCTTCTCTTCTTCCTCCTTCTTCTTCTTCTTCGATAGCATGCCGCCACCGGTCCGGCCGGCGCGGGTTTCTCCCGGCAGACTGGGAGAAACTTGTTAAACGGATTTTACAAACCTGGCCCGACGGTCTGCCAGCGACGCAGCGAGCCCCGAAGCCTGCCACGGCAGGACTGACGGGGGTATCGCTGGACGCCCGTCGGGGGCGCGCTCTCTTGCCAGGTCCCCCCAGGGTCGAAGGATTCCTCCTCCTCCTACTCCTCCTCCTCCTCCTCCTCATGCTCCTTGTTCTCACCTCGTCCTCGTCGCCGTCGGAGAGAAGGATGTTCGTGCTGCTGATGATGATGACGACGATGCGGATGATGATGATCATGATGATGATGATGGTGATGATGATGATGATGATGTCGATGATGATGATGCCGATGCTGATGACAGTGATGGTGATGATGATGCTGGTGATGATGATGGCGATGATGATGATGATGGTGATGATGATGATGATGATTAGATTAGATAAGATTAGATTAGATTAGAACCCATCGGAGGCGGCCCCGTCTCTCCCACGTGCCCGAACGCCTCTAGGATCGGGCTAAACCCGAGCTTAAGTATGCGATGTGCGACCACGCATCTCGCGGCACACTACTACGTTCAGTAGTTACCGCGATGCCCCCGAGAGAAGTCGAAACACGGCTGACTGGTCAGCCTGGCTCCAGCGCTCAGAAAACCTAGAGCCTTGTCGGGCTCTACCCTGGTCCCTAGACGCGCCTCCAGAAACAGTACGCGCTCCAGGGGCCGCGGGGGGCCTCCGAGGCCGCACGGGTCTTGGGGTCTCCACTGGGCGTGGCGGTACCAACTGGAGCCGAGGTGTGGAGGTGAAGCAGGTGAGAGGGGGCTCATCAGGCCGAGAGGAAGGGGCGGGGGTCTCCAGAGTCCTACTGGCAGTCTGTCGGCCACAGGGGTGGAGAGTCGGAGGAATCTGCGAGGAGGAGGGAAGAGTCACCTGGGCCTCACGTGCGACCTCACAAAGCCTTCTCACCACGGCATCCTGGCGCCGTCGTTTCTCCCCTGGCCCCTCGTGCAGTGGTCCTGCGCCTGGCATCTGTGTACGGCCTAGTCCATCACGCCTCCTTCGAGCTCGTGCAGGCCCGTGTGGATCAGCCTCTCTAGGTGGCCCATCGGGGCCATCCCCTGTCTGTAGTCTGCCCCTGCCTGGACCAGGGCCTCCAGCACGGGGGTCAGGTTCACTCGACGCCCGAACGACAGCGCCAGCTTAACCTTGCCCTCCTCGTAGCAGTCCGAGAGCTTCGCCATCGGCACGACTTCGCCCATCTCGTGAACGGTCAGCCTCGCCAGCTCTTCCTTCAAAGCGCTGAGTTGTTGCTGGTTCGCGCGGCCCACCGCGCTTCCCTCTGCCAGCAGCCCCTCGAACACTCCCGCGAAGCATGCCACCGAGATCGCACCCATCTGCTTGATCTTCACTTGGCCCTGCCCCTTGTCGTTGCCTGCGCGGATCTCCTCGGCGGCGCGAATCCACGCTCGCACTCGCCCCCGCGCCTTGACCGTCGGCTGCAGCCCTGGCGACATGAGGAACGTCTTCAGCTCGATCGACTCGATCTGCCTCTGGCGGTGCGCCAGGTTCAGCAGCAGGCGCATCATCACGGGAAAGAACTTCTGCATGGTCGACACCTCTATCTCGTCTCCGTCGGGCTCGCCGAGGTCCACCAGCTTCGCGTCCTTCCTCGGCGCCTTCTCGTTGCCGCCGCCCTTGCCTGCAGCATTGGCCGCCTTGGCGGTCTGGGGGCCGCTCTTGCGCCCTCCCTTGGCAGTCTTCCTCGGCCGTCCTTCGGCGTCGCCCTCGGCTATCTCGGGCAGCCCTTGCATCCGCGACATGCGGCCGAGGTTGAGGAAGAAGAGTCGTGCGAATGTGGTGCTGCAGGGCTTGAAGATCCTCGAAGTCTTGGCCGCATTCTGTCTCGGGGCACTCAAACAGCAGCGGAGCGATGACAGCATGATTGAACACCGGGAAGTTAGCAATGCACCGTCCATGTCTATAGGCAGCAGCGATGTGGTTGATAGCAGTGCGGCGACAAGCGAACGATGACAAACGCGGAAGGACACTGGTTCGTCACTGTCAATCTCGTGAAGAAGTTCAGTTTTCCGCGCCCCCCTCCGCCTGTGTGTGTCTGATGCGCACGAAGCGCCGCCATTGTGCGAAACCTGCGGTTGCACTCCAGACCCTCTCCGTCGATCAGCGAACGCAGAAAACCGCCCTCGAAGCACTCCTGATCCTCGTGCGGCCTCGTGGGAGTTAACAGGGGATATGTCGACCCCTATCCCAGGCTTCGTGGGGTTTCCGAATGGGCCAGAAATTCGGGGCCTAACCCTGGGATGTACGATGGGGGGGTGTCCTTTCTCGATAGGGGTGCGCCCGAATAGCCCCCATTGGGGTGTGCCCCAGGGTTTTTCCCATTCTTCTGAGCGGCCAGCCTTTTCGGGCGAAACTCGGGGATTGGGGAAGAAACATCGCCCGCGAGGGGTGATGGTGGGGCGCTCAAGCCAGACCTTGCGGAGCTTCGCTACATCGAACTTGAGAAGCCGCCGTTTCAGTTCTTCGCCCAGGAAAACCTTCATGTGATCGTCCCCCACCGTCTCCAGGAAATCCAAGCCCCCTCGAAGCTTCCCAAGAAGAAGCATGTCGTTCTTGTACTGCAGGGCCCAGGGGTTCGCGCGACCCTTTGGGGCGATGGGCGGAGCACACGGTGGCGCCCACGCAGAAGTCTGGGCCCCTGGGTTCTCGAAAGTGACTTTCCCGAAAACTGCAGCGAGCTCCTGAGCATGCCGTTGGGGATTGCGGACGAGAGCTTGAAAGTGGCGGAGCCGTCGGATACCAAGTTCCACACTGGGGGGTACTATCGCGATGCGCTGCCACACGGCTTCCGCACACGCCGTCGTCACCTTCCACCTGGCCTCCGCAGCTTCGCCTCCCTCCTCCACCTCGCCCTCGTTCAGCCTGCGATAGACCGCTACCCCATTGCACAGCGCAGCAGCATCGCGCGTGGCCACCGAATCAAGACGCTTGACCTGCTCCTCCGTCAAAACCCGAGCTTCAAGACCCGCCAGCGCCGCTCCTATAAGACGAGCCCGAAACACCAGACGCCTCCGATTAAAATTCTGGCAGGTCTTCCAGAACTTCCCCATTCCTCGCCAGCCCACTCGGATCTCCGCGCATCTAGCTCGGATCTCCTCGTCGTTCCTCCCCGAAGACTGCGCGTGAGCTCCCAAGAACACCGAAGTCGCCTGGACCTCCCCCGAGATGGCGACCTTGTGGTAGCGCAGGGCCCCTGCAGACTTCTGAGCCCCTCGGCCCACGAAACACGGGCTGACAGCTTTTTTTTTCCCACGGCTCTGGGCGAGGCCAACCCGTCCCAGTGCTGCATCAAGATACTGACCTGGAACTTCCACTCGACGAGCTGCGCTGCGCGCATCTGGGACAATATGAGTACATGTGAGGTCATCAGCATACTTCCTCACTCCCAGATCGCACACTTCCTGAGTGACTGCACACCCTGCTATCAGCTCGTGGACCGACGTCGTAGGAAAGAGATCTCTCCTCCACTCAGCCGCCGGCGTCTCAAAGGCCAATCGAAACTTCGTGGCCGCGTCTGCGTCACCCATGAAACAACCCACTCGACTCTGAAATACACCCGTGCCATCGCACGCATCGACCACGCACGCTGTGTTCCGATGTCGTGTTACCATAATCTCCACATCCTCGGGCTGGTACAGCTGCTGGACCGTGCCGTCGAGGTGGTGGTGAGTGACGCTGGCAAATGCATTCGCCATGTCGTGCTTGGTCGTGATGTGGCTCAGGCCTGCTGCACCGAGTCGCCATTGCAACACATTGCCCACGGTCAACGCACCCACTCGTGACCGCCCTCTCACATAGCCATGATCCTCTGGTGGTGGAGTCAGTCCAGGCCTAGACTGTCTCGCCCCAACCCATGCCTTGCCAAAACTAAAGAGCCCGTGTAGTAGACGTGTCCCCCTCGTCCGTGGTTTGTGATTCAGCTTGCTTACCTGATACGCCTGCGAGAGGTTCCACCAGGCGTTGAGTCGATTGTGTTGTCGCACCCCTGCTAGTTGTGCCAGAAGACACTCTTGTAGGCAAGCACCCGCCACAGCTGGTTGGTCATTGGCGGTGCGTCGGGGCGCGCGGCAGGTGAGAAGAGTGCCCCAGACCTCCATCGGTAGTGACCACGGTGGTGCTGCTCGTCGGCGTCGACCGTGGTATAACTTCGCAATTACTCCATCCAGATCACGGTTGGCCTGCTCCCAATGCTTCATTTCGGGATAGAATGGGTAGTCGTGGGCGGACGCTGCACCAATAAACTCCTCCGCCGTAGTAGCAATGGCCTCCATCCCACCCTCCCGTCCACTCAGTGCCAAGTCCTCCGTCCACGTTTGTAAGTCGGGCCTGGCATCAGGTAGTATGTAGTGATCCCGCTTCCGTGGTCCCAGTCCATTGCCTGCCATCTGAAAACTGATCCTCCAGGCCAGATCTTCTCGATTGCCTCGTAGTGCCTCCTCCAGTTCGCGATTCAGCTCACTCTGTCGTTCCCTCTTGATGGTCATCCTTGCTTGCTTGCACCGTCGTGTACACTGTCG